AAGAACTGAAATCATAACGAACAGTCTCTCACACCACAGTGCAATCAAATCAGAGTGCAGGATTAAGAAACTCACTCAAATCCGCACAATTACATGGAAATTGAACAACATGCTCCTGAATGACTCCTGAGTAAATAATGAAATTAAAGCAGAAATGAATAAGTTATTTGAAACCAGAGAGAATAAAGAGAAAACATACCTGAATCTCTGTGACACAGTGAAAGCAGTATTAAGAGGGAAATTTATAGCACTAAATACCTATGTCAGAAAGCTGGAGAAAGATCACAAAATGACACCCTAACATCAGAATTAAAAGAGCTAGAGGCCAGATGTGGTGGCTCATGCCTATAATCCCAGCACTTTGGGAGGCCAAGGTGGGTGGATCACCTGAAGTCAGGAGTTCAAAACCAGCCGGAATTAGATGGTGAAACCTCATCTCTACTAAAAATACAAAAAATTAGCCAGGCATGGTGGTTCAAGCCTATAATCCCAGCTACCTGGGAGGCTGAGGCAGGAGAATTGCTTGAACCTGGGAGGCAGAGGTTGCAGTGAGTCAAGATCATGCCATTGCACTCCAGCCTGGGCTATGAGAGTGAAAATTCATTTCATAAAAAAGGGGGGGGGAGCAGAGAAGCAAGAGCAAACAAATCCAAAAGCTACCAGAAGACAAGAAATAACTCAGATCAGCACAGAACTGAAGGAGACAAAGACACGAAAAATCCTCCAAAAAATCTAGGAATCCACGAGCTGTTTTTTTGAAAAAATTAACAAAATAGATAGATCATTAGCTAGACTAATAAAGAAGAAAAGAGAGAAGAATCAGATAGACACAATAAAAAATGATAAAGGGAATATCACCACTGATCCCACAGAAATACAAACTATAATAAGAGAATACTATAAACAACTTTACAAAATAAATGAGAAAATCTAGAGAAAATGGAAAAATTCCTGGACGTATACACCGCACAAGACAACCAGGAAGAAGCTGAAATCCTGAATAGACCAATAACAAGTTCTGAAATTGAGGCAGTAATTAATAGCCTACCAACCAAAAAAAAAAGCACAGGACCAGACAGATTCACAACACAATTCTACCAGAGGTAAAAAAAGGAGCTGGTATTATTCATTCTGAAAGTATTCCAAACAATAGAAAAAGAGGGAATCCTCCCTAACTCATTTTATGAGGCAAGCATCATCCTGATACCAAAACCTGGCAGAGATGCAACAAAAAAAAGAAATTTTCAGGCCAATATCCCTGATGAACATCAATGTGAAAATCCTCAGTAAAATATTGGCAAACTGAATCCAGCAGCACATCAAAATGCTTGTCCACAATGATCAAGTTGGCTTCATCTTTGGGATGCAAGGCTGGTTCAACATATGCAAATCAATAAATGTAATCCATCACATAAACAGAACCAACGACAAAAGCCACATGATTATCCCAATAGATGCAGAGAAGGCCTTCAATAAAATTCAACATCCATTCATGTTAAAAACTCAATAAAATTAGGTATTGATGGAACATATCTCAAAATAATAAGAGCTATTTATGACAAACCTATGACCAATATCAAACTGAATGGGCAAAAGCTGGAAGCATTCCTTTGAAAATGGGCAAAAGACAAGGATGCCCTCTCTCACTACTCCTATTCAACATGGTATTGGAAATACTGGCCAGGGCAGTCAGGCAAGAGGAAGAAATAAAATGTATTCAGATAGGAAGAGAGGAAGTCAAATTGTGTCTGTTTGCAGATGACATGATTCTATCTTTAGAAAACCCAATTGTCTCAGCCCACAAACTCCTTAAGCTGATAAGCAACTTCAGCAAAGTCTCAGGATACAAAAATCAATGTGCAAAAATCACAAGCACTCCTATACACCAACAACAGACAAGCAGAGAGCCAAATCATGAATGAACTCCCATTCACAATTGTTACAAAGAGAATAAAATATCTAGGAATACAGCTAACAAAGGATGTGAAGGACCTCTTCAAGGAGAACTACAAACTACTGCTCAAGGAAATAAGAGGGGACACAAACAAATGGAAAAACATTCCATCCTCATGGATAGGAAGACTCAAGATCATGAAAATAGCCATACTGCCCAAAGTAATTTATAAATTCAATACTTTTCCATCAAACTACCATTGACATTCTTCACAGAATTAGAAAAAACTACTTTAAATTTCATATGGAACCAAAAAAGAGCCATACAGCCAAGACAAACCTAAGCAAAAAGAACAAACCTGAAGGCACAACACTACTTGACTTCAAACTATACTACAAGGCTACAGTAATTAAAACAGCAGGGTACTAGTAACAAAACAGATATGTAGACCAATGGAACAGAATAGAGATCTCAAAAATAACACCACACATCTACAACCATCTGATCTTCAACAAACCTGACAAAAACAAGCAATGGAGAAAGGATTCCCTATTTAATAAATGGTGCTGGGAAAACTGGCTAGCCATATGCAGAAAACTAAAACTGGACCCCTTCCTTATGTCTTATACAAAAATTAACTCAAGATGGATTAAAGACCGAAATTTAAAACTCAAAAACATAAACACCATAGAAGAAAACCTAAGCAATACCATTCAGGATATGGGCATGGGCGAAGACTTCATAACTAAAACACCAAAAGTAATGACAACAAAAGCCAACATTGACAAATGGGATCTAATTAAGCTAAGGAGCTTCTGTACAGCAAAATAAACTATCATCAGGAAGAATAGCCAATCTAGAGAAGGGGAGAAAATTTTTGCAATCTATCCATATGACAAAGGGCTAATATCCAGAATCTACAAAGAACGTAAACAAATTTACAAGGAAAAAAAAAAAAACATCAAAAAGTGGGCAAAGGATATGAACAGACACTTCCAAAAGAACACATTTATGTGGCCAACTAACATATGAAAAAAGCTTAACATCACTGATCATTAGAGAAATGCAAATCAAATCCACAATGAGATAGCATCTAACACCAGTCAGAATGGCGATTATTAAAAAAGTCAAGGAACAATAGATGCTGGTGAGGCTGTGGAGAAATAGGAATGCTTTTACACTGTTGATAGGAATGTAAATTAATTCAACCATTGTGGAAGACAGGGTGGTGATTCCTCAAGTATCTGGACCCAGAAATACCATTTGACCCAGCAATCCCATTACTAGGTATATACCCAAAGGAATAGAGATCATTCTACTATAAAAACACATGCACACGTATATTTATTGCAGCACTATTTACAATAGCAAAGCCATGGAACCAACCCAAATGCCCATCAGTGATAGACTGGATTAAGAAAATATGGTATATATATGCCATGGAATACTATGCAGTCATAAAAAGGAAGGAGATCATGTCCTTTGCAGGGACATGGATGAAGCTGGAAGTCATCAACCTCAGCAAACTAACACAGGAAAAGAAGATCAAATACTGCATGTTCTCACTCATACGTGGGAATTGAAACAAGAAAATATGTACATAGGGAGGGAAACAGCACACACCGGGGCTGTTGAGGGATTGGGGGTGAGGGAGGAGAGGATATTAAGACAAATAGCTAATGCATGCAGGGATTAAAACCTAGATGATGGGTTGATAGGTGCAGCAAACCACCATGGCACACGTGTACCTATGTAACAAACTTACGCATTCTACACTTATATCCAGGAATTTAAAGTAAAATAAATAAAAAATAAAGAATTAAAAAAAAAAAAAAAAGACTTCCCAACCCAACCATGCAACCATGATAAAGGCTCTCTGGTTATAACTGGTAACATTGAGATTCCAATAAAGTATATAAAATCACCACAAAATTAAAGAGACTAATTCAGACTGGAGGAGCAGTTGGTAAGACATTAAAAGTGAAAATGCCATTGAGTTGGTTGCTAAAAGATGGGTAATAAAAGGATAAATTTTACCAGTGGATGTGCAGTTCATGCATTCTATGATGAGGGCAAGTAGTTACGAAACAAGGTCACACACAGTCAAGAATCAGCCACTTGTGAGGCACTTCCCTGGAGAAAAGAGTGTCTTTTTCTTCACATGTAGGCACTACCTTCTCAGCAATTAGAATACAGCAAAGCATTCTTATTTGCACAATAACATAGACGCTTTTGTTGCATAATAATATCTAGACAATATTAACATTGTGAGCTTGTAGTGCTCTTGAGGAGTATATATTTGAGTAAAAAGGGGATAACATTAGTAAAGTCATAGGAATAAGAGAGTATAAAGTTGGGTAGGGAGTGGAGAATAGTCTGTTTAGAGCAGAGTGCTGCTAGAGGGAGGAGGGAGGAAGTTATAGCAGAAAATTTAGTGTGAGATAAGTCTAGACTAGAAAGAACAGAGCACATTGTCTGAAATGCCATTTAGAGCAAATTCAGTTTTGTTCTGTGAACAACTGCAAGCTATTAATATATTTAAATAGGAAGTGATATGATCAGAACTTTATTTTAAAGACAGTTGAGGTTTGTAAGCCAGAGAAAAGACTTGGGTTGAAGAAAAGATGAAGAATAGGAATGAAGATCTTGGGTGGAAGAATAATGTGAATTCGTAGAGAGATTATGAGAGTCTAAGTTAGAATAGGAGGAGTCGTATTGAAAAAGAAGGATCCTTTTGAGACTCCTTTTAGAAGTAAAGTGAGTAGAAAAACATTAGATATTGGCAATGAAGACTGTTGCAAAAGACCGAGGTTGATAGCACTGGTCAAGAGGCTGATGAGGATGCCATCTGTGATAATAAGAACAACTTGTAACTAAGAGGTAGATAGGTTTTGTTGCACAGGTGGAGAGATGGGGAAAGACAGAGTTATTTTATTGCCTTATCTTTGGTAATATATTAGTACATTATTTGTTCTTTGTTTCAGTTTTTCAAAGTAGAATGTACTATGTTATAAACAAAATACTAATTATTAGATCTTAAAATTTAGTATGCAATATTCACATGTAATTGATTTAAATGCTTCTATTACACCTAAATTGTACCTACCTAACTTTTTTCATTTCTTTAAGTAAATTCTTTCCATATTTTTCTGCTTTTAGTTTTTGTTTAACAATCAGGCTTTTCTCTTTTAGGTCAGCCTCATTCTTCTTCAGTCTGTCAATTTTAAGTAGTCCTCTGGTCAAAAGAGTGCGCTCATTATTTAAATTTTGAACTAATAAACGCTCTGCAGCCTTTTGGGATTTTTCTTTTAGAAACAGAGCTCTTCTCTCCCTAGCTTTTTCAAGGTAGTTGAATCTGTTTTGCCAAACTTGTCGTAAACCGTTCTGAATTATCTCTTTATTTTCTTCAATTAGTTTTTGTGTAGCATATTTTTTCTCATTCAAATGTTCATTAACAGTTACTCTAACTCTTTCACGAGCAACTTGTGCCATGGCTACAGCTCTTACTTTTTCTTTATGGCATTCCTGCTTCTTTTGTTCTGCGTAATATTTGTCAATATCACTAAATGTTTGGAGTTTCATACCAGCTCTTTGTGTTGCAAAAAACTCTTTCATACTCCTCTCCAATCGTATGTCTTTTTTAGTGATTTGCTTTGGATGAGTAGCAAAGATTGGCTGAGGATATGCAGGAAAAAAATCTTGTTTATTCTCTTTCAATACTGCAATATTCTTCAATGAAACGGAAGTACATATGGGTTGTTTGAAAACTGATATCCTAAAACTGGTATCCAATTTTTCATCCACAATTTCATCCTTAGACTCCTGACCTACATCAAACAAAAGACAAATATTATACATTATAGCAGAGCTAAGCACATTTTATTTTCTGTTCAAATATATCAATAAAGTTGATAAGAACCTGTTATTTACTTTACTAAGAGGAATTTTTCCCAAGTATGTTTTCAACTTGTGATTTAATAGTAACTTTGGAGAAGAAAATTACTATTAAAACATTTTCACATAGAAATGCATGGAATCTAATTCTTATATTTTCTGTATTATCTTCCACAATTGCTTAACTTGCACTGACTCAATAGCAGCACCTTATCACATACTGAGTACTACTTAATGACACATATTATTTTTTTCATATAGTTTGCTAAAAGAAACAAAGTTTAAACAAAGAACAATTAATGAACGGGGTAGCACCGAGAACCAGTGAAATTTTAGAAAATTCTGCTTAATAAATGAGCAGGGAGTATTTTTAGATAGAAAATGGAAGAAATATAGAAATAGCTTGATTGGTTATGGTTCAATTTTGCCTTATTTGGACATAATCATATCAATTGGTGGCCTGTGATTGGCTGAAGCTTGGCTGCTGTGATTGGCTATGACTTAAGTTATCTTTTACAAAAATATACCCCTAAGTTAGGCTTTCAATTTGTTTACATACTAAGTTAGGTTGCAATTAATTCAGTATGTAAGGAATCAAGGAACAGAGGCAGCCTTAGGCCACATTTAACAAGTTATTATTATGTCATATTTGCAAGGGGCATTGTAATCCATTTTACCTTATCTTTCTTAACTCTGGTGGAAAATAATAGCAGCCATCAATTGTTTTTCGCTTTTTTGGACAGATAAAAATACTAAAACTCTTAACTTCCTTTGTTTTCCTTTGTGTGACCATGGGCTAAATCCTTTTTAATAGAGTGTGAACACAATTGCTATGTGTTATTTCTTGTCCAAGGGATTGTTTTAAGAAACAATGTGCACCTTCTTTCCACTATGTAGAGATGAGAATGAAACCCCAAAGATGGTGGAACCATAAGATAGACACCGCCTGCCTGCCTGAATCACTTGTTGAAAAAACTACTCACGGACCAGAATCATCCAAGTTGGTCACTCATAGAGCCAGAAATCAAAAGTAATTATGTTTTAGTCAATATATATTTCTGGGTATATTTGTTACTATACTCAACCTAATTAATACAATAAATTGAACCACATTGCTGTTTGCATATTTACATTTTGACAAACCTATTAATAAATTCAGAATCAGGTGACGAATACAAGTATAAAAGTTATGCTTGTTAATTTAGGAGAAAAATATGTTTCCTGATTTCTTCCACTTATTAAAATTACATTCCTGCTAATTCTAGTCTACAAGGGTTTGATCTTCCCTAGAAAATTACCTTGTCTTTATGTGTAAAAATGTCAAATATGATGCTGGTAGTTTTATGGAAGTTAAAGGAACTAGGAAGAAGGGCAGGGCTTGTGGTCTAGACATAGAAAATAATTGAATAGGCAAGATTTTCATGAAAGGCTACAGGAGTATCAACATTGGAAAAGTAAGCAAATTCTACAGCAAAGTAGGATATCAAGTCTAGCAAGTAGAAAAGGCAGTCCATCAGAATAAAAAGCCAAAGTGTCCAGAAATAAACACTAAATGTGTGTGTCCAAAGCAAGACATGGGGAACCCAAAGAGTCAAAAGCCAGAGTCTCTCATTAGTTGGTTGAACATTGTCCCATTAACACTTTAAAAAGTCTCCTAATTTCTTTCTCTGTTTTCAGAATCTCTGTTTCAATAAATCACTCACTGCCATAATATTTATCTTTCTTAAATAGGGTTCTAACAACATTGTACCTTACACAGAACAAAAGAAGACAAAATCTTTACAGTTTTCCACCCATAGGCCAAAGAATAGTTTCCACTTTTAGCCTAGGATTATATAATACCAGAAAAGAGCGACTTATTTTTTCCCAACACATGCATCATATCTTATCATCATTGAGCCGTTGTGTCTACTATTTTATGTTTTGTTCAATATGCTGTTTTTCTTATCTATATCTGTTCATATTCTATGCATTCTTCCATGGCTTTCCACATGTCATATTTTCCTTATTGCTTAAAAAAATTGATATGTTTTAAACTATCACATATATTTTTCCTGATAGAATTACTCATACTACACTTACATTAAAGCTCTATGTAGTAGTTTTTAGCTATAGGATTGAACTTGATACAAACTTCTTAGGAGTAAGGATCTACTCCTTCAGTCTCTTGTGCCACATTCCTAGCCCCTAGCCTACTATTTTGCACAGTATGGTTTGTGAGGCAGCGTAGTTTAGATGTGTGTCTCCTCCAAATCTCATGTTGAAATGCAATCCCCAAAGTTGAATATTGGGCCTGGTGAGAGGTGTTTGGGTCATGGGGAAGATCCCTCATGAATGGCTAGGTGAACCCTCATGATAACAAGAGAGTTCCTATTAATAGTAGTTCACATGAGAGCTAGTTGTTTAAAAAAGCTGGGCACCTCTGTCTTCATGTGATATGCCAGCTCCCACTTCACCTTCTGCCATAATATTAAGGGAAATTTATAGCACTAAATGCCCACAGGAGAAAGCAAAAAGATCTAAAATTGACACCCTAATATCACAATTAAAAGAACTAGAGAAGAAAGGGCAAACAAATTCAAAAGCTAGCAGAAGACAAGAAATAACTAAGATCAGAGCAGAAGAGAAGCAGACAGAGACACAAAACTCTTCAAAAAAATCAATGAATCCAGGAGCTGTTTTTTTTTTTTTTGAAAACATCAACAAAATAGATAGACCACTAGCCAGACTAATAAAGAAGAAAAAAGAGGAGAGTCAAATAGATGCAGTAAAAAATGATAAAGGGGTTATCACCACCAATCCCACAGAAATACAAACTATCATCAGAGAATACTATAAACACCTCTATGCAACTAAACTAGAAAATCTAGAAGAAATGGATAAATTTCTGGACACATACACTCTCCCAAGACTAAACCAGGAAGAATTTGAATCCCTGAATAGACCAATAACTAGTTCTGAAATTGAGGCAGTAATTAATAGCCCACCAACCAAAAAAAGTCCAAGACCAGATGGATTCACAGCCAAATTCTACCAGAGGTACAAAGAGGAGCTGGTACCATCCCTTCTGAAACTATTTCAAATAATAGAAAATAGGGAATCCTCCCTAACTCATTTTATGAGGCAAGCATCATCCTGATACCAAAACCTGGCAGAGACACAACAAAAAAAGAAAATTTTGGCCAATATCCCTGATGAACATTGATCTGAAAACCCTCAATAAAATACTGGCAAACTGAATCCAGCAGCACATCAAAAAGCTTATCCACCACTATCAAGTTAGCTTCATCTTTGGGATTCAAGGCTGGTTCAACATATGCAAATCAATAAACATAATCTATCACATAAACAGAACCAAGGACAAAAACCACATGATTATCTCAATAGATGCAGAAAAGGTCTTTGAAAAAATTCAGAAGGCTTCATGTTAAAAATGCTCAATAAACTAGGCATTGATTGAACATATCTCAAAATAATAAGAGCTTTTTATGACAAACCCACAGCCAATATCATACTGAATGGGCAAAAACTGGAAGCATTGCCTTTGAAAACTGGCACAAGACAAGGTTGCCCTCTCTCACCACTCCTATTCAACATAGTATTGGAAGTTCTGGGCAGGGCAATCAGGCAAGAGAAAGAAATAAAGCATATTCAAGTAGGAAAAGAGGAAGTCAAATTATCTTTGTTTGCAGATGACATGATTGCATGTTTAGAAAAACCCATCTTCTCAGCCCAAAATCTTAAACTGATAAGCAACTTCAGCAAAGTCTCAGGATACAAAATCCATGTACAAAAATCACAAGCATTCCTATACACCAGTAACAAACAAACAGCCAATTCATGAGTGAACTCCCATTCACAATCGCTACAAAGAGAATAAAAACCTAGGAATACAGCTAACAAGGGATGTGAAGGACCTCTTCAAGGAGAACTACAAGCCACTGCTCGAGGAAATAAGAGAGGACACAAACAAATGGAAAAAAATTCCGTCCTCATGGACAGGAAGAATCAATATCATCAAAATGGCCATATTGCCCAAAGTAATTTATAGATTTAATGCTATCCCTATCAAGCTACCACTGACTCTCTTTACAGAATTGGAAAAATGTACTTTAAAGTTCATATGGAACCAAAAAAGAGCTCACATAGCCAAGACAATCCTATGCAAAAAGAACAAAACTGGAGTCATCTTGCTACCTGACTTCAAACTATATTACAAGGCTACAGAAACACAAACAGCATGGTACTGGTACCAAAACAGATATGTAGACCAATGGAACAGAACAGAGGTCTCAGAAATCACGCCACATATCTACAGCCATCTGATAAAAACAAGAAATGGGGAAGGGATTCCCTATTTAATAAATGGTTCTGGGAAAGGTGGCTAGCCATATGCTAGTTGAAACCAGATCCCTTCCTTACATTTTATACAAAAATTAACTCAAGATGGATTAAAGACTTAAATATAAGACCTAAATCCATAAAAAAAAACCTAGAAGAAATCCTAGGCAATACCATTCAGGACATTGGAATGGGCAAAGGTTTCATGACTAAAACACCAAAAACAATGGCAACAAAAACCAAAATAGACAAATGGGATCTGATTAAACTAAAGAGCTTCTGCACAGCAAAACAAACTATCATCAGAGTGAACAGGCAACCTACAGAATGGGAGAAAAATTTTTGCAATCTATCCATCTGACATAGGGCTAATATCCAGAATCTACAAAGAACTTAAACAGATTTACAAGAAAAAAACAAACAACACCAACAAAAAGTGGGCAAATGATATGAACAGACACTTCTCAAAAGAAGGCATTTATGTAGCCAACAAACATAAGAAAAAAAGCTCATCATCTCTGGTCATTATAGAAATACAAAACAAAACCACAATGAGATACCATCTCACATCAGTTAGAATGGTGATCATTAA